AGTTTCGTGGATTGACCACTCTTCCAGAAGACCGTTCCGTTGTGTCCATGATCCATATATAGGAACCATGGCTGTATTCTGGCTAGTTATGAACATTTATGCTCATTAATCAAACTTATAAATCTTAAGCCGTTTGGAAAACCTATAGACACACCTTTTTAAAAAAAAAACGTGTAGCAACTCTTTTCACTTAAAAAAACTACAAGGGACAGCCCTACGGGGTTGTATGCGATGTACACGCAAACCCAAAATTTATTACAATGAATGTTAGTTCCATTTCCTATCATCCTCCGTTCATGTACATCGCAGTGAATGTTAGAAGTTGACCTTGCAGGCGATGTAATAGTTTTTTGCCTTTTTTATTTCGTGTTCTGTCTGTGCTTTCACATAAGCAAGCATTTGCCTTGATTTTTATGCATAACATGGTAGAACGACGCACACACTTGCCTCGAATCTCTCCATCAGAAAAAGCATACGAAGTCAAGTGTGAGAGGAAATAAGCGCTGTTGTTTGCTTTTAAGATATCCATATTCAGAAGCATGGTGAGAGCAGTGGAGAAAGCACAGGTTTGAAAATCGCAACGTTCATTGTTCGAGTCCAGTCGGCAACCTTCTTCCTATTTTTTTCGACATAATTAATTTCACTCACTAATACACTCCACATTTTTCGGTCTCCAATTTTCTTGCATTGGACCGCAGCAAGGTATATTGCATCCTCGGTTCATGCGGTCTCCACTTACATCCTCTGATGATGAATCCCACATAATTGTAAGCGAATCTTACATCCACCGGTTGGGTGAGGACTACGTGGTCTTATATAATAACTGTTATTTGCTAACTGCAGCAGGATTTTGTGTTTTGTGCAGGAATAGGAATTTGAGCGAGGTTCTCTCTGTTTTTACTCTTTAGTATGACTATTAGAGTGATGCAAAATTTGAAATTTTCGCTCCACAATACTTAAACGATTCCAAATCGGATCCTGACTAACCTCTCAAAATTTGAACCCATTTGGTGAGAAACTGAGATGGCACAAACCATTTGAAGTTTGTACGGGATTGCTATGGTAAAACCAAGATTTTTGTTCATGTCTATCTGATAATTCACCATATCGGTCTACTTCAAAAGCCTTCAACTTTGCTTCTACAACTTTGCTGAAGACCACTTTTTGATTAAATGCAAGGATCGAAAGTTATTAATGGTTCAATACACTGATGTCTTATTATCATGCTCAATCAACTGCTCAGCAGGCAACATTGGTGTTTCTGGGGCGTTGAATAGGACACAAAAATTATGGCTACTATGTCCACACTGCAAAATACAGTGTTGCCTACAGAGCAGCTGCTTGATCATGTCATAAGTCTACAAATCTCTTAAATAATTAATAACTATTTCCTGTCTCGTTTTACATAGAAACGATTTTCAGCAAAGTTGTAGCTGAGAATATGGAAAAAGACTAGAAGGCAATGAACAAAAAGTTGAGATTTCCCATAGTAATTTACACGTAAACTTCAAATGGTTTGTGCGAAGTCTGTTTCTAACCAAATGAGTTGTAACTTTTGGGGGCTAATCACGACCCGATTTGAAACCATTTAAGCACTGTGGAGCGAAAAAGTCAAATTTTGCATCAGTCTAATGACTATGATTGCCCGGAAAGGAACCTTTTGATATGAATTTGAGTTGAGACATGTTCAGAAATTTAACTCTTTTGGAAAATCTTGGTGGATGGTAGTACAGGCTTTAAGCCTTTGGAAGATGATACTGACGTGTAGGCAGCTGGATCAGCAAATCGGACCGGACAATCCCATATTCTTCGGTTCGGCCCGTCTGCTGCTGGACAGGTGTCTGCGACAGGTTGAAAGGCCGCAGTACATCAGTGTCCACCCAGCTAAAGCTCCTCCCCCTTTTAATTTTTCTCATTAAACTCCTTCTCTCAACAAGTTGGTAAATTTTAGCCTCTAGCAGAAAGACGCTTAACACTTTTTTCGGAGAAGTTATGATCCTGTTTCACGTTATGGTTCTTCTCTATGCCTGTTCAAATAAATTAGTACTAGGGGAAATGGCTCTAAAGTTGGCCTATGGATCTAAGATTGGGCCCAACGCTAAAAATCTGCTACTTATCAATTTTATCTAGATGAACGCGTCATTGGGACGGTATTAATGGATATTTTTGATCGCTATTGAAAATGTAGTCAATTGCTGAATTTATGTATGGGCCCAAATTGGGGGCATTTAGGCCGACATTACATTCATTTCCCGTTGATGTCGATCCCGGGATGTCGGTAATGTGTAATCGGAGATGCAAATGCGCAGGTTGGGAGGGAAGATTTCTTTCGTCCAATCATTGGTACAGAGAGCTTACATACAGTAACCAATGATAACGGCCTGAAACTAATTAATTCGCTGCTGCTAGAGGTATGGCCATCTGTAGCACCTACTTTGCACGCAAGAATATCCGAAAGCACACCTGGAGACATCCAAATGGCAAAACTTGCACTCAGATTGACCACATGTTGGTGGATGGTCGGCACCACTTCTCAGATGTTATCGATGTGAGAACTTTCAGGAAGCCTAACATTGACTCAGATCATTATCTTGTAGTCTGCAAAATTCGTGCGCGTCTGTCGACCGTTACGATTTCAACGAACCGGAGATCGATGCGTTTCAATATCGATTGCTTGTCAGCAGAAGGTGTTGCTGCAAAGTATCGCCAGAAGCTTGATGAGCGGATTAGCAAAATCAACGTGAACGAGGACCTCAACAATCTGTGAAACGCAATCCACGGAGTGGTGAACACAACAGCACAAGAAGTGATAGGTACAGCTCAAAGACGACCACGTAATGGATGGTTTGAGCAGGAGTGCCAGAGGTTGACGGATGAGAAGATCGTTGCCAGAAGCCGGATGTTAGTGTCTGGTACCCGGCTGAACAGAGAGCGGTACAAGGTAGCAAGGGCAGCTGAGAAACGAACCCACCGCAGAAAGAAAAGGCAATACGAAGAACGCGTGATTGCTGAGGCGCAAGAAAGTATGAAGCAGTACGATATGCGAAGGTTCTACGCGACCTTGAAAGGAATTTTCTGACAGATAAAACAATGGTGGACACGGAAGTGAGCAGCTGGATCAAGCAATGCACCGTATTCTAATGAAGATATGGGAGGACTAAGAACTGCCTGCTAGCTGGTTGGATGGTCTCATTGGCCCATTATTCAAAAAAGGGCACAGACTAGAGTGCACCAATTATCGAGGAATAACTCTTCTGAATTCGGCGTCTAAAATACTGTCCCGCGTTTTGTTTAACAGATTGAGACCGCTTGTTTTCGTGAGGGCCGATCAACGACGGATCAAATGTTTACCCTGCGTCATATCCTTGACAAATTTCGGGAGTACAACTTGCAACAACACGATCTTTGGCAGATTATGCTAGAAAATGGCTTTCCGGCGAAACTGATTAGACTGATTCGCGCAACACTGGATGGATCGAAATCAAGTATGCGGGTTGCAGATGAGATTTCGACCTCATTCGTGACCTTAATGGATTGAAGCATTTCAAACTTACTATTCAACATTGCTCTTGAAGAGTGTGCAGAGGAACGGTACCATCATCACACGCCTTTGCGAACGACATCGATATCATCGGAATTGACCGTAGAGTAGTGGAAGAGGCCTTTGTGGCTTTTTAAGTGGGAGACGGCGAGGATTGGGCTCACGATAAGTTCTACCAAAACGAAGTACATGATAACCGGTAGACAGCAATAGTGGTTTTGGAAGAGAAATGTTATTGGATGGTTAACAATTTGAGGTAGTGGAAGAATTGGTGTATCTTGGAATACCAGTGACATGCGATAATGATGTTAGCCACCAGCTGAAGTCCCGTAGCTTGCAAACGAAAACTAAAGACGCTGATACTTCCGGTGCCCCTCTAAGGCCATGAATCGTGGACGTTAAATGAGACTGTCCGGAGAGCATTTGATGTCTTTGATCGTAAGGTGCTGCGAACAATACTCGGCGGTAAGCAAGAAAATGGCATCTGGCGGCGTCGCATGAATCACGAGTTGTAACAAGTGTATAGCGGTACGGATATAGTGAAGCTTATAAACACGGCAGTCTATGGTGTGCTGGGCATGTAGTGTGGATGCCAGAAGGACGACAAACAAAGTTTATATTCAGCAGAGAACCCGGCAGAGGTCGTCGACTCTGGGGTAGACCTCGATCATTAATCGAATAATTGGACTTTTAGGCATCCCTAGAAAATAGTATAATTTCATGTAAAATACCAAAAACCAAGTCTTTAGCGGGAATGACACTGATGAAGATTGCACATTGTAGTCGAAATACGTATCTGTCATGGATACCAAAATTATTTAAGTGCAATCAAATGGAAGATAACCCTTTTTTGCTGTTTTATTTAAGCATTCATTACTTCAGTATTTTCATGTATTTTGGTGGTCCTTCAAAAATATCGAACAGCAGAATTGCAACCAGCAAGTGTTACTCAAGAACAACAATCGTATTAATGAATATGTTTGCCGTCGAGTAATTAACAAAACAGAAAGTCGATGAAGAGAATCGATCAAAATCACTTGCACCTCTACTTCCAAGTTTGGTTACAAGATTACAACTCTGGAGAGTATTTTGTGTGGTTCTGAATATGGCGATGAGTGTGCAAAATGTTATGCAATTGCATCCTCCCTATTCGCACACGCCCGAATATTGGAGGCGAATGCCACTTCGACTTGTTTCGTCTACTAACGACTCTCTGGTACGTAAATGGTAGATTTATTAGTTATTTCGAAACTTTTACACAATGTTTACCACTTTTCCATAGTTTCTTGTTGAAAATCAACAGTCGGAAGATGCGTAGAAATATTTATGCTCGATTGGCGATAAACCTATTGAAATTGGTCCGAGGGAAGCTAAGTTATTAATGTTCAAAATCTTTCATAATTTCGTTACATGTTCCATTTTCGGTTTTCACAAATTGTACCCCCATATAGAAATCACAGACGTAGTCCTACGTAAAAAAGTAGACGACCCTATTTTCAATATTTTGCAATCAAAATTACCTTCAAATCCTAGGAGATCTAGTGGAACCACATTTTTTTGGGATTCATCTAGAAATGGCTAAGCTGTGTCAATGCACACTTGTGGCTTTCGAAGGCATCGTGTTCGGAGTGTTAAACGCATAAGTTACCGGGAATTTGATAAACTTTTAAGTTCGTAAAATTACAAGAATGTGAAAATGAGTGCATTCACTCGACCCCTGCTATGCCCATGAATAACCCAGTTTGGGCCTTCCCAGTCTGCTGAAATAGAATTTATGGATTTTCTTTCGGAACAAACGAAATCTTTTCTGATTGTAATGTTGTTTAATCAACTTCTCTCCTGCAGATTGATGACACGTTCTGATTTTATTTTTATCTTTGATGCTCGCGATCATAATTCTACCTTCACAAAAACCCGGCTGATCTTATGTTAGCTTAAAAATTAGTCGAATACTTACTAATCGTTCGCTGTGCGCTCCATAAATCGAGTAAATATCAGCCATCTCTAATTCTGAGGACATTAACCGTCGAGAGGCATCGCAGCACTTTAACATTAAAAAGCGACCAATAATAAATTTAAAAACACATGTAAAAAAATTGACTTTTTTATTGGAAAATTTTGAAGGTGTTCCATTGCACAATTTTTAATTTTTTTGATGCTTATTTTTTAGTTTTTCATTGCTACTGCTAGAGTTTTAATTGGAAATTCATCAACTATTCATGGATCATTCATGTTTTTTGGATCTTTGCTATTTTTGAATTTTCTGTTGCAACTTTTCATTTTACTGTTGCTTATTTTCGCAGTTTTGCCAGTGAAACATATATTTTCTATTACTACTATCCACTTGTCTAGTGCTCATTTTCAAAGCTAATTACTCCTGACCAAGGTTTTTTGGACATTTTAAGTGCAAGATGTGCATTCTTTAGGTGTCGTTTGTATTTTGTCCCGCTTATTCCTAGTCCCAGTTCTTCAAATATTGTCTACGCTCTTGATCATAAAATTTTTCTGAGTACTCAAATTTAGGAAAATATCCTAGCCTGTGATCGTGAAATCAGAATTTAGTTTAGAATTCTAATTTATAATTATTAGGGTGAGATCTAAAAACAGATTAGAATTTTGATATTTTTGACAAATTGCGAAACATTCACAATTTTAAAATTCAATATCCATTCTCAGATAAAGGTCCTGAAAAAATCACAAAGTTACATTTCCAAGAAAAAATAATTTCAATCTTTCACGTTTCAAAATTCACCCTAATGACTACATGGGCGTAAAAATGTATATCTTCATTAGGGTGCCAATGAATGTGTAGGGGAAATGTTTATTACCTCGAAAAAAAAAGACGCTGTGCGATATTTGGACTCAATCGGACGTGATTTTAGGTGACGCAAAATCGTTATTTTCTTTTACTATTCGGCCCGGAACTGTTTGTTATGATGAATGATATTTTAATCTAGTTTTAGAACATTAGATTTATCGGTGAAATGAACGAATCGCTCGTGTCCAAATTTTGTACGTGGGTATTACATAGTTGTATCTGATGAATCATCACCGGGTCACATAAATAACGCTTTGAACAAAATGGGTGAGTGGCGATAGCATGGATTTCAGAGGTATTGCAAAACCTCAAGGTGCTAGTGATGCACGGAGCCAGTGTTGAGAAAATGAAAAAAAAATCACCAATGCCCAAGATTACGCTTGATTTTCGTAGACTAAAATCAACAAGCAAACATCTGCGGTTGATTTTGCACGCTCGGAATATCAACACGACGAATGAGAACGACCTACATTTGAGTTTAGTCAACTCATAATTGCCAAAAGTGCAGGAACTCAGCGATGAGTAAAATTTGTCTCATGTTTTCCCAGGTTTTTCCAGGATTTTTAAGGGAAAAATTCCCGAATTTGAGAAAAGTAAAGATTGGATTCACTCAGTCTATTGGTACTATTTCGTGACTGAATAAAATTTTCGTCAATTTCCTCATTTTCCGACGGATTTTTTAGGTTTTCCACAGGAAACCATGAGACAAATTTACTCATCGCTGAGTTCCTGCACTTTTGGCGATTATGAGTGAACTAAACTCAAATGAAGGTCGTTCTCATTCGCCGTGAAGCTAACAAAACTCACCAGCTGTAAATCTGTGAAGAGATTGAGTTTCATGATTATTGCTTTACACCCGAACGCAACCGAAGCTTCCATAACGTCGGTGAAGAGTGAAAAGAGATAGCAAACTATACTTTCTCTTTCTAAGAAAACGATGTGCAACGGCATCATTTTAGTGTCGAGTCAACTTTCAGCTTGATTTTTTGCACGTTGTAAAGGAGCTTGTGAAATCATTATCAAGCATGATATTTTGTTCCAATATCACGCGTGATGTTGAGAGCGTATCCGAGCGGAAAAATGTAATTTCGTTCTCTTCCACAACCCCACCATTTTTCTCTTCATCCGTATATATAGCAAAGTATTTTAGAATTTGCCTGCCTGGCGGCAGCTTTTGCATACAGTTTAAATTTTAGTTCAATGAAAATATTGGATTAGTTTCAAATTGGATATTTCGATGTGCAGTTATTCCAGTTATAACAGAGCAAGGGTAGTGAATGGACTCCACTTTTTGAAAGGCATGCTTGTTGTTGGCTGGTTGGGAGTGGCTTCTGTCTGCTCCAAAACTCGTCTACCGAGAGAACCTTCCGAGCTTCCGAGAACCTTCCGAATGCTTCTCGTTGGCGAGCTGAGCTGAATGTGGGTATTGATTAGAGCTTTCAAGATACCTCGCGAATGCTTCTCGTTGACGGGCTGAGAGTACGTGTGGATCCTACTCATGCGGTAGTCTAATCAGGCCCTGAAGACCTCTAAAGGTCGTTTTTCTTGGATAGGTTCGTGACTAGTGTTGTTTGTTCGTTGGTTATTTTTAAAAGGTGAAATATGAGTTTGATCAATTTGTTTTTCTTTTATTTAACTGTATTCAAACGAAATTCCTATAACATGGAAATTTATGAACTAGAAATTTTCTGATTTAAACGAAACGAAACATGAAAACAAAAATTCCGTTAAATTCCGATTCGAAGCGAAATACACGGTATAACTCGATATACCGCATGCCCTTACAATACAGCCATTTTTGAACTTCTTTATCGAATCACCATGAAATTGAATTTTAAATTCGTGCGAACAGAAAAACTTTTCACGGTTTTATGCGAATTTTATACGGTTTTTTATACTCAAGAGATTATTGGCGTTGTCTTGAGCTGCGTAGTGAAGGGGTGTCGATCCGGATGAATCTTGTGCATCTATTTTGGAAGTTGATTGGGGAGAAGTTTTGCTATTTCTAAATGCTCCCGTTCAATACCATCGTTATTTACTTTGAATATATTGTGGCGACCAACAGCCACTTTCACAGTTGAGAGGTTTTCTTTATTCGTCATTCTGATAAAGTTTAACAATTTCTAGATGCCCCATTTGACTTGCATAGTAGAGAGGTGTATTATTATATTTATCCCGAAGATCCGCCTTGGCAGATCGATCGAGGAGAAGTTTAACAATTTCTAGATGCCCATTTTTACTTGCATAGTGGAGAGGTGTTTTATTAAACATATCCGGAAAATCCACCTTGGCAGATCGATCGAGGAGAAGTTTAAAAATTTCTAGATGCCCACTTTCACTTGCATAGTGGAGAGGTGTTTTATTATCAAAGTCATCCTGAAGATCCACGTTGGCAGATCGCTCGAGAAGAAGTTTAACAATTTCTAGATGCTTCCTTTCACTTGCATAGTGGAGAGGTGTTTTATTAAACATATCCGGAAAATCCACCTTGGCAGATCGATCGAGGAGAAGTTTAAAAATTTCTAGATGCCCACTTTCACTTGCATAGTGGAGAGGTGTTTTATCATCAAATTCATCCTGAAGATCCACCGTGGCAGATCGCTCGAGGAGAAGTTTAACAATTTCTAGATGCTCCCTTTCAGTTGCATAGTGGAGAGGTGTTCTATTAAATTCATCCTGAAGATCCACCTTGGCAGATCGATCGAGGAGAAGTTTAAAAATTTCTAGATGCCCACTTTCACTTGCATAGTGGAGAGGTGTTTTATCATCAAATTCATCCTGAAGATCCACCGTGGCAGATCGCTCGAGGAGAAGTTTAACAATTTCTAGATGCTCCCTTTCAGTTGCATAGTGGAGAGGTGTTCTATTAAATCTATCCCGAAGATCCACCTTGGCAGATCGATCGAGGAGAAGTTTAACAATTTCTAGATGCCCACTTTCACTTGCATAGTGGAGAGGTGTTTTATTATCTTCATCCTGAAGATCCACCTTGGCAGATCGATCGAGGAGAAGTTTAACAATTTCTAGATGCCCACTTTCACTTGCATAGTGGAGAGGTGTTTTATTATCTTCATCCTGAAGATCCACCTTGGCAGATCGATCGAGGAGAAGTTTAACAATTTCTAGATGCCCACTTTCACTTGCATAGTGGAGAGGTGTTTTATTATCTTCATCCTGAAGATCCACCTTGGCAGATCGATCGATGAGAAGTTTAACAATTTCTAGATGACCCATTTCACTTGCATAGTGGAGAGGTGTTTTATTATCTTCATCCTGAAGATCCACCTTGGCAGATCGATCGAGGAGAAGTTTAGCAATTTCTAGATGACCCATCTCACTAGCCTCGTGCAGCGGACTTTTATTGAAGCCTTCACTATACTCAAATGCTTTAACCACGGCCATCAAATTCGCATCCATGCCATAATCAAGTAGAAGTAAAACCATCTCATAATGACCAGCACGCGTCGCAGTGTGCAATAACGATCCATATTTTTTGAGTGTTTTAGTTTTGTAAGCATTCTTTTGTAGTAGCCTCTTTACTACTTTTACAACATTTGTTTCACATGCCCAGAATGCAACTTCAGGTTTTTTTTTACAAATATTGCTCAGAGCAATCATTTGCTCTGATTGTTTTGAAAACTGTTCTTCAGTTAGCATAAAGAAAAATCTTCGAACTGTTTCATGATTATAAAGTGTTTCGTACAAAATTGCTTTGCATTTTTGGATATGACCATATATATACGTTGCAACGAAAAATTCGGCATAGGATCGGTGTACGAATCTAAGCTCGCCTTTGGAAATATTAAATAGAGGAGAGTGCTCGTTTCCCTGTTTGATTCGGGTTTGGAGTTCTTCGTAAAGTGTTTCATATTCACCCGATGCGATTATTTTCTTATGTTTATCCACAAAAATCTCGTGCCAAGCAGCAATTTGATGCTCAATATTAAAGTATTTGAACTGCCGGCGCTCTTCGTCATCACTTGACATGTCGATATTTCGGTAAGCATCTTGGTCTCTTTTCTTCTTCCATTTGATTTGAAACGAAAATTCTACAAACTTTTTAAACAATGAGACAACATTAAATTTTTCTTTCGGGAAAATATCTGGTGCACGTTTATCCGGAACAGTTTTTAAATATTGTTGGAAATCATCAGAATATACTTCCGCCAACAATCGAATTAAAAGTGGAATACCAAAGAATTCAGATTGATAGCTTTTTATGTCCGAGTAGAATTTTTCGAGCAATTGAGTTGAATAAATTTCAAATTCCTCTGAATCATCGGAAGCTTTCCATGAATTTTTCAAAACCATAATTTGTTCATCGTTTTCAAATGGAATCAATCTGATTGCCCCTGATTTAAATTCTTTTTCAAGAATATCTTTGACATGATATCTACCACTTACAATCACTCGAATATTCTCCTTTGACAATAATTGCCTAAATACGGCGATTGCCTCGTTATGAAAAGTGATCTCATCGAACCCATCAAACAGGATTATAGTTCGATTTGCGTTGCTTTCTAGATTGTTTCTCAATATTTTCCGGCTTATTTCTGAAATTTCGAAAACCGCTTCTAAATTTTCACAGCCTGATTTGAGCACTTCCTTTAAGTTATTCAAATATATCAAGAACACATCAATATCGGACTTCTTTTGAACTTCGAAGGCAATGTGTTGGAGGATAGTTGTTTTTCCCATACCAGGCTCTCCGATGAAGAGAGAAAATTTGTTTTCTGCTGGGTTGACTATTAATCGTTTGATGAAATCATGGTCGCTAACAATACGATTTTTATCAATTAATTTTCTTTCTATGTATGAGCTTCCAATATATTTACGTTGTGATAGATTACGACTCAGTTCCCTCGTTATTTCTTCGACACAAGAACGTCCCTCTTTATAAGATAAGTAACTCTTTTCTGGCTTATTGTTTTTTGTATCCTTGTAACTATTAGAATTGATCCAATTTTTAAAACATTCATTAAATTTAAAGAAAGGCAGTTTTAATTGTGCTTTTCCAAGATCGTCCGGTGGAATCCAATCTCTCATCCATGAGCGAAGATCATTCTCGATGGTTTGTATAAGATCACTTGGTTGGTTTACACAGAAAGTTAGATGCTGAAAGAACTCGTTCACGCTTTCTTCATTTAAATACGTTGGTAGTTGGGTGTTCCTAGATTTACCATTCATAAAATTTTTAATCGCTGGATTTTCTGCTATTAATTTCTCATCAATATCCTTTAGTAGCTCATTATGCAACCATTCATGGGTGAGACGGTCCTTGGAGAGCTTTAGATATTTTTTATCTGAAACTTCCAGGATCTTCTGCAACGGTGTTTTGTAGCTGATTAGTATGTCCGAAACATTTCCTTTTTCGAAGAGTTCAATGATCGCATCCTTAATGGCATTTAGTTCGGTGTTCATCAACTTCAGTAAATCTTCAATTTTATCCTTTTTTGGTCTGAATCTTTTGTAGCAATCGTTCGATTCAGCAAACTTCATTATTGGGTTCACTTCACCTTGTTCACAGTCCTCGATGTCCACCAACTCTTTAAGCTGACTATTACTATCGTCTAATGATTTATTGGTTAAGATAAAAAATCGCATCTCCAACTTCTTGAACTCATCTTTTTGAATAACGTCTAAATACGACTGTATGTACTTGATAATAGCAAAATCATTATTACCTTTACACGTCTTCGGAAACAAATTGTCGAACGATATTTTGTTTGTACCATCTGAGTTGTCTTTGTGTTTGGCTTGGAACAACCACACTTCCTTCGGTTCTTCGAAAATTATGACCACATCATCGAATTTTCCAGCGTCCTTCATTTCTGAGGCCAGTTTGAATTCAGATTTCTGCAAAGATGCTCGCTCAAACAGCGCAAATGCTAAATCTTCTTCGTATTTGTTGCCATGATTGCCAGTATTGCCACCCCATGCATAGCGGTGACTGACAACTGTTTCCTTGGTGGGCTCCATTATTTTCCCTAAAATAAAAAAGCACAATCTATTAGTAACATTTATCATTAGCAATTCATGTCTATTGATTCAAACAAATCTGAAGGCTGCTCAACTGGAGTTGCTCTTCTAGACACAGGAAAAGCATTCGACAGTGTTTGGCATGAAAAAGTTTCAGAGTTGGTTGGAAATGCTATCTAACATGAAGCTTTAGTGTGATAATTGATTAGCTAGAGAATGGTCTTTAGAAGAGAGTAGGTAGAGAGTTCCGTTAGAGTACGGCAATATGGAAATTGAATAGAAGTTGAAAATGAGCGAAGGGCCTTTGGATATTCCACAGCCGCAGACATTAATAAGCAAAGGCAATCGCACACTTTTTGCCTGTAGATTTGAAGACATACTTCAAATCTCCGCGTACTTCGTACGGGCTAGGCAAAGAGTGTGCGTTTGACTTTGTACTGTCGCATTAATGGCCCTTCGCTCATTTCAACTTCTATTCAATTTTCATACTGCCGTACTCTAACGGAACTATCTACCTACCCTCTTCTAAAGACCATTATCTAGCTAATAAATTATCACACTAAAGCTTCATGTTCGATAGCATTTCCAACAAACTTTGAAAATCGCAAACTTCGCGTTTGAAGTAACATAAAAACACTTTGAATGAAAAAGTTTATTTTTCCACTCAATATTATGAAATTAATTTTTTGGTTTACGGTTTAGCGACTTGCAGTCCATTTATCTGTTTGTAAGAAAGTTTGAACATACTGAGACGTAAGCACATATCAACAGTAAGAGACGTGTGTGTGAGAAAATTTGCGAAAAAAATCTAAGGGCACCGGTGGGATTCGAACCCACAATTTCCATTCAGTATACGAGTGCATTGCCAATTATACAGCGGTGGACCTATATGTTCTATGGATGTATTTGTCTGATGAAATTTGAGTTTCGAATCCGTTTCCCACCCTAGTTTTTTTTTTGCGCAAGCGTTCTCTAATACACAACAATTGTCTATAATCGACCATATATGCTTGTACCGCAACCACTCAGTATCAGTCGATGTGAACAAATACAGCTCTTTTTTGTTGTACCTACATCCTTACAATTTTAGATATTTTCTCTTCTTCTTTACAAAAATGGAAGATTTTTCCCAATGCTTTCAAATCTCAGCTTATAATATTCCCATTTAATTTCTTGGTCATGTCAAGTGAAATATCTTGGATTAGTGCTTGACCAAAGATCACTTTGAGGGCATTCAAGCCAAATGTAAAATGTTTGTATCCTCTTATAAAACTTCTAATATTTAATCAGATTTTTAGTTAGACCAGGACAAAAACACCTCAAAGGATTCAGACTAAAGCTCTGAATTTGATTTTGAAGTTGCCTTCATGGTTCACTACTGCCGAAAAATCTAGAATTGATTGTCAATCCTCAATTGCAATGATTAATTCCCTTTACAATTAAGGCCTGTACTCGAAAAAAAATGCACCAGACAAAAGTGTTCGCCAAAAATTTATTTTAAGTCGGATTTTCTTGAAACTTTCAGGGAATGAACTAATGGACACATGGATTATGCTTTGGCATAATTAATTTATTAAATTTCCTTTCCATCGCTGAAAGCCCGCACCTTTCCCTTAAGACCCCTCATTACATTTTGTGCAATGGTGGAGCCGACCTTTTTGGTCATTTTCATCCATTCTTTCTTTAACTCCAGCTCGTTCTTAAACACCTTGGACGATTTTCGAACTTTGGCCTTCGTTATGGCCCAAAATCTTTCCACCGGACGAATCTGTGGTGAATTTGGGGGGGGTTGGAGGTTTTTGGTACAAAAACAACGTTATTGTCTCTGTACCAATCCAACGTCGATCGCGCGTAATGGCATGATGCCAGGTCCGGCCAAAATAATGTTTCGTCTCCGTGGGATCGCAGGAAGGGCAACAGACGCTTCTGGAGGCACTCGGTGCGGTAAATTTCACTGTTGATGGTACCCATTGTGATGTACGGTTTACTCAATTTACCGCATTGGCATATGGCCTTCCAGAGCAAGTATTTTTTGGCGAGTTTGTCCACTTTCTTCTTCCTTATGTCTTCCGGAACATCACACCGTGATTTGGCAACGTAGAACTCCAGCCCCGGTATCTTCTTTGCGTCTGTCTTGATGTAGGTTTCGTCATCCATAACCACACACATCGGTTTCGTTAACCACTCTCGATACAGCTTCCTTGCGTGGGATTTGGCCGCCGTGTTTTGTTGATCACGCCGGTTCGGTGCCTTCCGGACTTTGAATACACGAAGCCCAGCTCGTTTCATGGTTTGCTGAACGAACCAGGCGAAACACTTTGCCTTCAGAGCCGCGTCGCGAATCGAAAGGTTCGGATTACGCTTGAAATAATCCAACACCTTCCGGGCCTTCACAGGGTCAGCTGTCTTCGATTTTCATCCACTTCCAGCCCACCGCTCGGTCGTCTGGGACTTCTTAAACGATTTTACCGCCCGAGAAACAGTTGTATGGGTGATTCCTAGTTGTCTTCCGATCCATCTCATGGTCGCAGTCGGATTTTCCATGACGGCGCGCAAAATTCTCCAGCGATTTTCTTCTTGTTTCGACGACCACTGAACCGATTGTTATGAAATTTTGCACATGTAAACAATTCACTCCAAACTAGCTATACCCAGATTTTCATCCATTTTTACCCACGGATAAAAAAGTTACACACGGATAAAAATGGTGCATTATTTTCGAGTACAAGCCTTAGATAAGTTTTAGTTTTAACTTTCAGTTTAAAGATTTCAATTGTTATACTGACATGCAGGTTTAGAAAACCTGTTTTAAATACTGAATTGCCAAAGCAGGAACAATGTAAACACACATAGCTATATATCAGAACAATTAAGGCTGGTAAGTTACTTTAGTAGCTGGAGCACCTATATGAAAATGAAATGTAATTAAAGAGTAATTTGTAACCGTAATAATGCCAACCGTCGATTAATTTCAGAGTGCTTGATTAATAAATGTTTGGCGGCGAAAAGGACGATGATGGCGTGACTCTTGGAGTGCGAGAATGGATATTGTTACCGATCCACTTGAAATAGACAATTCATCTGACTGAATTTCTAGATTTGATTGACATCATTTCCTAGTAAATAGCTTATGCTGGTTCTCATTGAAAACTGCGAGTAGTTTATTCATTATAATAAAAAAAATTAAAGGGTTGTGTCCTAGGCACGACCGCAGTTTGACGTAGAACCACGCAAAATTGATGTTTGTCATGCATTTTTGACTTTTATACTTATTATTATGAATGGGCGGGGCAGAACGTTTCTTTTGTGCAAAATATGAAAAAAAGGATGGACTTTGGATGTTAATCTAATTGCATATATAGAGGTACCAGATATGTTTTACAGTTAGTTGTTGGTAATTCATCCAATGTATGAGGAGACATAAGCAATTTTTTTTTTGAAAATTTTGGCTCTGCGTGTTAAAAAATGTTTTTACTTATAAGGGGCTGTTCACTACGTTGACTACGTAGACAGAGTTGTCTTTTCAGAGTGTTGTTAAGGGGGGTGGTAGGGTTGTTGTTAGGGGGGAGGGGGTTTTACATACATAATTTTCCAAGTCTCATTCTCATTGTGGTGATCATGGTCACGCCGTGATGCCCCTTAAGCCGCTGAATTAGACCTAGTGACACGCCGTCCGAAGCGGTAATGAGCAGAGTCAGTAGTAGTAAAATTCTTCTTTATTTTGATTTGCTATGTGGTTTACAATTGCTAACCCCTAAAGCTTCAATGATTTTCAGTTGGAAACTCGGCAGAAGCCGACAGCAGATGTTTCTCCTTACAGCAATGGCCACTCCTCCTCCCCCGGAGCTGGTTCGATCAAGTCTTAGAAGCCGAAAGTCAGGAAGGTAGACATTTACCTCCGATTTCAGGTGGGTTTTAGTGATGACGGCAATGTCTATGTTACGTTCATTGAGGAAATCAACGAACTCAATGATTTTGCTCTTGAGCGAGCAAGCGTTCCAGTTGGCTATTTTGATGGCTTCACGGTCCATACTTTTGCACGAGGGTCATATCTGCACAAAGCTGTTCAGGTAGTGTCTTGGTGGTGCGCAAGATTATGATCACCTCAGTCACGAGGATCACTAGTTCGTCGCTTGTGAGTGGAGAATTGTCTTCTGACTCACCTGACACAGCACGGGCGTACGATAATCCCGGGGCAGTAGAGCCATAGCTCGGCTGGGCCGCAGCATCAGTGAGGCGTTGATGAACTGAACGGTGGCTGGGACCCACTTGATCTGATGTTGGATTCACAACGGGGGGGCGTTGGTTTAGTGGAAGCGATGCTAGGTTCGGGACCATACGACGAGCCGGAAGTACAGGAAATGTGTCCTTGTTGACAATTGGAGCACGATTATTGCGGTAGCGACCAGGTTGGTTCCTCGTGGAAGCCTGTTGTCGGATCTGGATGAAGGCCGCTCGCTTGGGACAACTCCTATCGCTGCCCAGATGGTTAGAATTACAGTTCACGCATTTAGGTTCAGCTTCTTCTTCCTTCTTGCAGGCGGTAGTATTGTGAGCCCCAGCACATTTGCCACAACGAACCTTAATGTGACAATTCTTCGTACCGTGCCCAAATACCAGACAATTAGTGCACTGTGTCACGTCACGGTGCCTAGGGCGATACTGCTCCCACTGAATCACGATGTTGAACAGCGCGCGAATCTGCCGCAGAGCACCCACACTGGTGGAGTCCTTATCGAAGTGCACCAGGTACAACTGGTCCCGGAATGCACTGGTTTCATCACGTCTCGCAATGAGAAAAATGTTGATTGGCTGCAGATGAAGGAGCTCCAATTCCGCTTTAATCTCCGCAACAGGGAGATTTGGAAGACCACGGATCACCATTTTCAGTGGTTTGCTTCCAGGGACGTCGTGAGTGTAGAACTCAAACCGGTTCAGCTGAAGAAAAGTGCCAACAGTGTTGTAGTCCGCCAGCATCGAGCACAAGATTTTGATCCCCGTGCTGCAC